AGCGCTCCATGGCATAGGACCTGGCTATCTCCGAGACCGCCTTCTGCCGCAGATTCCCTCCCATAGACCGGTACGCTCCCACAGAGTGGGTCTCCTCAGGGTGCCGTCGGCCAAGCAGTGTCGGCTGGCGACCCCCAGGGGGAGGGCCTTCTCTGTGGGTGCCCCCGCCCTCTGGAACGAACTACCCCCCCAGATCCGGATGATTCCGGATCTCCTTACTTTCCGCCGCACCCTCAAGACATGGCTTTTTCAGCAAGCGGGCCTGGCCTAGGGAGGATTTTAAATCGGGTTCATTTTTAGAAAATTTTAAATACCACAACTTTAAAATATTTGGGTTTTAATTGGTTTTATTTGGTGGGGATTGTGGGCATGTTTCTGTTTTAAATATGTTGTGAGCCGCCCTGAGTCCCTCGGGAGAAGGGCGGGATACAAATCAAAATAAATGAAAAAAAAAAATGAAAAATGTATGTATCAGTGTGTGTGTGTTTGTGTGTGTATACATACCCATCCATCTCTTTAGATTTGAAAACAGATATAAAGCCACATGTTTTCTATTCTCTTGAGTACAATAAGATTTTATTACTCTTTATCTTATCTGTGTCCTTGACCAAATGCTTATGAACCTTTTTTAAACCCCTTAAAAATAATTTGCTTTGCTTCAAGGAAAACAGGCTATTTAGAGATGAATATTTGCCTGTAATTTATCCACTTTTTAAAATTGGTCTAAAAATAAGTCTTTTTTCATCTTCTTAGATGAAACTTATGTTGTGTTTAATTCTTAAGATCTATTTTTAAAAAATACTGTTTCTGGTACAAAGGATTGCATTGGGGGTTTGAAGAAAAAACTCTTTGTAGGAAAATAATGGCTTTTTTTAAGATTGTCAATTTTTTTTTTTTGGCCAATAGAGCAATGAAGAAGTTCTCAGTGATTAAGACTGGCATTGGGAGTATTACATATGTTGAACAGATTCTCTTTTTCTCTCCCTTCAGTTTTTCTCCTTTCCATTTCATCTTTGCTTATGATCATATTTTACCACTGCTATATTGGTCTCTTCTATACTCAGAATTGTTTCCTAGATTAATATTTACTCTGAGGTTAATGGTATTTGTCATTTTCTGAAATCAGGTTTAGAGAACCAACTTCAGATCAACTGCCAAGCATCTTAGTCATTGGTCTCAACTAATAAGGGTCCCGTCTCTCAGAGAGAAAGAAAAGAGCTGTGTTGCCCTTAAGCAAAAATCTGTAGTATATATTGGAAGGAGACATGTCTAAGAGTTAAATATATCCAAGAGTTAAATCATGTACTCAAATATTTAAAGTACACAATAAAATGGAATGTGGATTTGAATAAGATGGTATTCGAACTAGGCCTTAGCAGATCCTAAGGTGGTATCAGACTTTATAGTCTCACAAATGCTGACCATCAAAAGTTAAAACAGAAAATAAAGTGTGTGTGTGTGGGGGGGGCTCTTGGCTATTTATGTATCATTTTCCACAAGAGGTTTGGAAGTTGCCAAACTGGGAAATTTGTATTTAAAACTTGGTGTATAAAAATGCAAATCAAGCAGGTCCGCTTTCAATTTAAACCTAGTTTATTTGCCTAGGGAGTAGTGAATCTGGAGTGTATTTTTCTGCTTTTTATTGTGTTTTCTTCACATTCTGTTTCTTAATCTTTCTTTTCCTTTTTTACAGTTTTTGAAATTGAGACTTTGTTCAACGATGATGAATGTTGGCATCTTGCTGTTCAATTTCATCTAGAATGTGCTTACACATTTTTGAATTATTACGAGTATAAAAAAGCCAAAGAACATTTCCTTGCAGCTAAAGACATAACTAAGTTACAGATTGAGTTGACAGGTATGTTCTTTTCCAAGTTCTTGAATATTAATCTGTATTAATATTAATACACCAATAAAACAGCAATAAAATGCAAATAAAATAAAACCAAAATAGGCACAAGCATTGCAAAAATTAATTTTAAAAAATATAACAATAAATTTGCATGCAGTTTCTTGGCTCATAATCTAATTTAAATGTGTTTAAATGTTGAAGGGAAGGTTGTTAAAAGAGCTAGCTGACCTCTTGACAAGGAAAGTCTTCCCTTGAATCTCTGCTGAATGTATCTCAGATGTTTGCGAATCTTAAAGCTGAATAGATTCACTTAAGAGAGACTGAATAGAATCTCATTCAGAAAAAGTAAGTGTTTTTAGATCTCCGTACCACGGAATGCCTTCCATTCTATTGTGTAATAGAATGGAAGGCAGAGAAAGAAGAAAATCCATCTTACATTTATGAGAGGCTTCTGCTGAATCCAGGCTCTTTCATTAATGGAAGGGAACCATCCAGCTCTTCGTTTGGAATGTAACAAACATAATGTCATGTATGGTATTGCAATTTTGAAGTTGCAGATTTTCTATTTTTTCTCCACTCTCTTTGCTTGAATCCAGTATCTATTATGAAAATTCCAGCACTATAATAAAACAAAAAGCATACACCTATACAGAATCTATTCTCTCTTGGTATTTTTTCCAAAAGTTAATGAGTTTAATGAAGTCCCCATAACCCAGTTTATGTCATTTATCTTCACTGACATGCAGGACAAATATCCTGTCATAATATAATGTGCATTGCTTATTTCTAGTAGAGGAATGCTATTGGAGACGAGGAATGCTATTCGGATAATACTCCAGACACTTACCTGCAGTCTGTAGCCTCAAAAACCCTCAAAAACCAAATTAAATCTTAGAAACCAAGTTGACCATAGCAAGATTCTGCCCTTCTGTGTCACACCTAAGTTGCTACACATGATGCTGACAATATTGGCATGTTCTAGTGTTGAGAGTTTTGAAAAGTGTGGATACATAATTGTGTGCATTTGCATTTGGCCATTGACAGCCATTCTGCACTTTATGGCTGCCTAATTCAGAAGAAAAACAACATTAAGGATAATAGCCAAAGAGTTTCTTTTGCAAGAAGTTCAAAAAGAATTTGCACATTTCTCTAAAAGTACGGTCCACAGGGAAGAAAAGAAAAGATGGGAGAATGGGAAGGATTAGCATGCACAAGAGAAACTATGACAACAAATTACCAATACATCCCACTAGCCAGAAGATAGTGTTGGAAGGCTGGAGGTGTGAATTAAGTCTCAGGGGAACAGATGTTTCCCCCTTGCCTCTGCAAGTTCTGAAACTTGAATCCTCATTTGAGGAGCTCTCAATAGAATCCAATCTATAGCAGAAGTTATAGAAGAGGTGTCATTGGTTCCAGTTTGTACCTGATCTGCCTCCTGCATTGCATACTGCCTGTCCTACCAAGCATTCTTGGCAGGGTTATCCTAGTGTTGTCAATTGACCTTAATTTGGCAGAGAATAGAGGACTCATTGTTTATGACTCCAACTAAATGAATTCCATTCTCTCCTAACAGAGTTCTATTTTAAAGCTATCTGGAAGAAGAATAGCTTTAGGTGTGCAGAAATAATCACGTTCTAGTAGATCACAATGTATTAATATAGAGCCCAGGCCACAGGAAGTAATTGTCCCATTGTACTTTGTCTTGTTCAAGGCCCATTTGGAATAGTCCAGTTCTGGATACCACAATCCCAAAAGAATATGGATAAACTGGAATACATTCAAAGGAAGATTGTTAAGTTGGTGAGGGGGCTGAAAACAGTGCCTTGTGAAAAACAAAGAAGATGGGTGTGTTTAGTCTGCAGAAGAGAAGATTAAGAGGAGATGCGACAGTAGTATTGAGATATTGAAAGAATTCTCATGTAGTGGAGGAGCTGGACTTGTTCTTTGCCACAGCAGAACAAATGGGCTAAAGCTGGATGGATTTAGGTTGGATATAGTGGAAGAGGTTGTCTTATGATTACTTTTTGTCTGTTTCCTGGCCACAAGTAGTCCTTTCATGGAATTAGGACATCTATAATCTGGACATCTATGCTTTTCCACTTTCAGTTCCAAAAAGAGCATCACTATATACATTCAAAAACTATTCACTGAAATGTGTTGAGTTTCTACTAGCAAAACACCTGAAATCTTCAGCAGGTACCCAAAGGCACAGCAAATATCCAAGGATACTGCGTCGTTGGGTATCTCCATTAACAGGCATGTTCCCCTTTACTGGAGGTCTTTAAAGAGAGGTAAAAAGTTATATATTTGAAATGCTTTAGCTGATTTTGCACTACGAAACTGGACTTGATCTCTGAAGTCCTTTCCAGTTCAAGATTCTGTGAAAATAGTTTTTTTTACTCAGTCATTACCAGTAAAATAGTAAAGCTGGTTTAGCAATATGCCTGGAATTCTCAAACTTACCTAGACATGTAGAGTGGTCCTTATTGTCTGGCACCTTATCTAACGTACCTTGAGTATGAAATTACATCTGGAGGCATTTTGAGATGTGATTGGGTCCAGTATAAAAGAGCTAATGTATTATAGAAATAAGTAGTTTTTAATGTAACACATCTGTAGATGGTTACATGAAATCTATCTTCTTTTGTTTATAGTGGGAAAAGCAGATAATTTTGCATAGACACCATTCTTTTGCATTGTCTTTATTATGGTTATTTCTGATAGCCTCATGAAATATTTCACGATTTTCTTCCTCCAATATATCTACTGGTGATTTGTTGATATTTTAAAAAGCTTATTTTCTGAGCCTAAAGCTAGATAAGATAGATGTGCCTTTATTCCCAGTAGTGTTTCCAGTGTGTTTAAGCTTTAAAATTGAATCATATATCATGGATATTGATATCTGTGGAACAATCGCAATAGTTGGATTTTAAGATATAATGATTTAGGTAGTGTTGGAATGAGTTTGATCTTTAGATATTCATTAATAAATAGAATTAGTGCTCTGTTTTAATCTGTAGGCATATTTGGAATGTTGAGAATTTACTATATTCTCACAAAATAGCTGCAAGAGGATGGAGAGAAAACATCTATTAAGTGGCATAGGAATAGTCTCCTATTACACCCACCCATAATCAGCCATTCCCCCCCCCCCCCCCCAAAACAAAGAATGCTTATAGAGGCCACTTGGAAGTTCAGAGGCATTGTTGGAACTGAGAATAATTCTGGATGCTGGCAGCTCTTAACATGCACACTCTCAAATATTTTAGAGGTTGGAAGGCATGTAAATTCTACCTGTTAATGGAGATACCCAATGACACAGTATCCTTGGATATTTGCTGTGCCTTTGTGCATCTGATGAAGATTTCAGGTGTCTTGCTAATAGAAACTCAACACATTTCAGTAAATAGTTTTTGAATGTATATAGTGATGCTCTTTTTTGGAACTGAAAGTGGAAAAGCATAGATGTCCAGATTATAGATGTCCTAATTCCATGAAAGGATTATTTGTGGCCAGGAAACAGACAAAAAGTAATCATTCCAAAGTTATAGCCCACACCAGTCAAGGTTCCAAAGAGTGAAGGTCAGAGTCTAAGGACTGAAGAATAGATCTGTCACATTCAAGTGCAAAGTAACTAATCACACAGGCTTGCAATCAGAGGATGTTACTGCCAGAAATAAGCTAGAAGGGAAGTATGTTATGTTTGAGTATATTGTTATGTCTCCCTTCTTGATGGTGCCTAGCTAACTACATGCCCATTTACAGCCATTCTTTCCTAATAGACACTTCTGCAGTTTTATTGTATGTAATGTTTGTGTGACAATGGTATATAAAGAATAGCAATAGCACATAGACATATATACTGCTTCATGGTGCTTTACAGCCCTCTCTAAGTGGTTTACAGAGTCATCCAGTTACCTCCAACAGTCTAGGGTCCTCATTTTACCAGCTTCAGAAGGATGGAAGACTGAGTCAACCTTGAACTGGTCAGGATTGAACTCCTGGCAGTGGGCAGAGTCAGCCTGCAATACTGCATTCCAACCACTGCGTCACAAGGGCTCCTCAAACAGTAGGGAGAAACAGCAAGGAGGAATACAGTAAAAAACAAAAGGAAGAAAGGATAATCTAGAGAATAACCCCATGGTCTTAATTTAAGTGAAGTGTGTGAACTTGTCATTTTTTACTTAAACAGAAACAGGGTTAATTCCTTATAAATGGTAGAATATCATTTAAGGATGTGACATGGCAATTACCTTGTAGTCATATATCGTGCAAAATAAATAGAACTGATTTTCATGCCTTTTAGAATATACTTACTTTAGTCTTACCCTCCAAAATTAGCATTAATTAGTCTGTTCACTTAAAGAAGCATCAAGTAGGGGGAAAAAAAACATTGACACATCAGGACAACAGATACTGAGCATTAAGACTACGTACCCAAAAAGATTTTGAAGAAGTTCATTGGACGTTGCATGACCATAGCACCTTTCTCCTGCTCATTAAAGAAACATCCTTTTTTTCCTAGACTTCTGTGCCAGCACGAAAAAGTTGCAGCTGCTTTGAATGTTGCATTATGAGCCAACTACATAAAACAATGGAAGTCTGAAAAATGTGGGCTGCTTCATTCAACAGAAACGAGATGTTGTGGTCAGGCAAAGTCCAAATTACTCCTTCCAAATCATTTTATATAGGAGCAGAAACCTGTTTTGTTAATATCACACCTTGAATCCTGGGGCATAAAACACCCAGACGTTGATATTCTTAACCCCAGCAAATATTTAATTTGCACTGAGGCAGTTTATTCAGGAATCCATTTTTCTGCTGGGCTTATTGTTTCTATTTTTATGGTATCTTTTCTGTCAGAACTGGAGCTTCTCTGACACAAAAAGCTATGTACAGCTTTTTTCGAGCACAAAGCTCCCTATCTTCTGAAAGTGCCTCATTATTGATTTGGCTCTTTATTCTATGACAATGAATAAAACTAATGATATATTAACTGAAATATTTTTTTTCTGTCTCTCTCTGTGTACATGTCATTCTTTTGCTGATTAGCAGGCTCTAAGAGCCAATGTTTTGTCTAGCTGGATGATATGCAGGCTTCCTTTTATCTTTTCCTATGATTTGTTGGATTAAACATTCTATAATACATTACATGTGGCTGAATGTGAACAGCTGATCTCTATACATGCACTTCAACCATATATTATCCATCTGTTAATTATTAATGTTCTAATCCTACCATTTCTCAATGAGTTTAAGGTAGTACACAGGAGTAAGGTCTCTCAATTTTATCATCACAACAATCCTGAGAGGTAGGATCATCTAAGAGGCAGAGCCTTGAATGTCACACAGGGAGCTTTGTGGCCAAATGGAAATTGGAACCTAGGATTCCCCATCCCAGTATGACATCTGAACTACTTAGACCACAATGGTTATCATGCCATATTAGAGTTTATTTAGTGAAGTTAATGTACATCTAAAAAATGGTCCAGCTTTCCATATATAAGTTTATTCTTTAATTAACAGCTTTAAACTGAAACCCAAAGAAAGATAAATAGTCTTAATTTGTTTAAAATTGTCTTGAGTAAGTTACAAGGGGAATTCAACTTAATATGATGTCATCACCTATGAATATTGTGCTAAAAATGTAAGTCTTAGAAATTATGTAACTTAATTTGAGGAGCATGTGACACCATCTGTACTTTAAATTATCTAGAGTGTTGATTTTGGATGACAATTTATGCATAATTTCTTGGTGGTGTTATAAAATGAATTACATTTTAAAATTGTAGACAGTGGGAAGTTAAGCTTCATTTGTGAAGATCTCACTCTCCTACACCAGCTGTATTTAAAAAAGCAGCCCTTAGTATTTTAATGTTCTACAAGATTTCAAACATTTTCCTTGAAGTTGGCCAACTGGTATTTCGAGTCAGCGTGGGATAAAGTGTGACATTATATAAATGCTCTGTAGTTTTTCTAGCATTTGATATAATACAGTGGGGATTTCTTCCCAATATACTCAAGGAAAAGTAGGGAGAGAAAAGTGTTAACACTTCTCTTCTGATGTAATCTTTATAATTATCATGCCTGAGATGGATTTCTGGAAATAATAAAGGCTTGAAATGATTTGGCTCTAAAACTAGAGTTGGTGAGTTTTCAGTCAATGACTTTAAAGGCAAATATCTGTTTTTTGAACAGTAACTTTTGTCTTTAGGCTCTGAGACACATAGATTCATTTTTTTAATCTCTTCCTGTTTTTTTCTTCTTCACCTTCTTTTCTTCTTACTTTCTATACGTACCATTATTTCCTTTGATTTCAGAACCAAGTGTGGAATAGTTTAACATTTTCATATTCTATTCTGATTGGAATCACTCATATTAAATCTTAATATGGACTGCTTTGATTATGGTTATTCAAATAAACTATGATTAGACAAGCTTTGGCTTACTGCAGTTGGTAAACCCAGCGTACAAGGGCTATTGTGCTGAAGCACATTGTAGCTCCGACTGTGGAATCTCAAATTTATGTTTTAAGCTAGAATGCGTTATGGATTATCCATATGGTTGGAATATACCATATCAAAAATTAAATAGAATTGTACTTTAAATCTGGATCAAAAATCCATACTTTTTTATTCAAAATAATAGAAAATGGAAATATTAATTGTGGTGGTGGTATCCTGATTAAGGAAATTAAATGGGATATGTCATTAGATTTAGATGTAACACAGTGGTTAAATTACTTGACAGAGAAGGTGCATAGTATTCAACCAGCAATCAGACTAAAAGAAACAAAAAAGTCTTACAATTTAGTTCTGTTTGGGTTTTAAACGAGCTTTGATAGTGTAAATATTTTAAAAATTTGCTTTAAATCTGTACTTAAAAGAACTCAAATGGAAGCAGTAATATTTACAATTTAAGGGTTTTGTGGTGCTATAATTAGCTCCATGATTTATTCTTTATTATGGAATTCAATTTTGGCAGAATTATTATTTCTATAATATTATTTTATATGCTTTGCTCCCCACTAAGCAATTTTTTCTTTCCTTATTTGAAGTTGAATTGCCAAACTTGGTGTTCTTTCCAGTTGCTATCAGTATTTTGGGGAACTCTGGCTTGGGACCAAGATATAATCTGTTGCTGTTGTTTGTAAGTTCCCAAGACCGAGCGTGCTAAAATAGCTTCATTGCTGAGCATTCT